AAATCGACCTCGACATTGTCTCATCGCGTTCGCAGAGCGAAGCTTCGACGTGTTCCAGGGGTACAATGCTCGGGTCTTCAGACAACAGTGTGCAGATTTCACTTAGCCCCCGTCCCTAGGAAGCCAGCGGGATTCGCTTTTTACGAGAGAGCGACGACCAAAGTTGTTTTTTATGCTAATCGTGGATCTGGGAATAATTTTTCGGGAGTATTTTAAGACCCGGAGCCGGGACCGCGATCTACATTAATCTCTGTTTCACCACAACTCGATTCCCGCTCTCTATGATGAGGTTACCGATTAAATACATACTTAATCTGCCGTGCTAAGGAAAAATATCGCATGAACCTTTAGACGTTGCCACATTTCCTTTGATGAAGTACGAATTTCCTGGTAAACTTACAAATATTTTCCCTCCAATTTTTCAGATAATTTTGTCCGCAATTTCACCTAAAGTCCTTGAAAATTTCAAGGGAAAATAATAATATCTTTCCTAAAAAAAATAAACATTTGAGTGGAGGAAAATTGGCAGCTCTCGAATGTCCATACGGCGTTCTTCCTTAGTATAGCAGTAATGCCCTCGTTTTTAGTATTTCGGTGTTCGATGGTTTTGGTTGATATGCGAGTGTAGTTTTTAAGCTCTTCAGCAGAGCTGGATTTAGAATTTTTTTTTTTTTTTTTTTTTTTTTTGAGCCCATGGACTTATTCTTAGGAAAAAAGTCCCCTAGAGTGCAAAGAAAGAAGGTGCAGTGGTGAATTTCTCCAAAGGAAAGGACCCGAGGGGTCTCCTTCGTTATAATTTGAATTATAAACATCCTCTTTAACTCAAATTGAGGCGTTTTTGGTGCTCATTGTCAGAAATTAGAAGGAGAGTGAGTCTCTTATGAACCTAACTATGAGTTCATGAGTAAGTAGGGCATGATGGAAAAAAAAATCAAAAATTTTAGATGGAGAGGGAGGGGCAAAAACTTTGTGGTGTGGGCTCCTGGTCGCCTATTTGCTAAATCCGGTCTCGCTACTCAGAGGAGAGATTTAAGCATAATTTTGCTTGTTCTCGCAGGTCCCGTTTTTTTAGGTTTTTGAGCAATGAATTCTCATCGTTAAATGTGTATAACCGTCCACGTATAAAAAATTCTATGTTATCGTGGTACACATGGACAAAAACCAGGAAAAGCTTTCTTGAGCAAGAGTAAAAAGTTGGTTTTTGCGGATTTCGATGGTGAACGATCTCATGTCCTATAAAAGAAAAGCTGTGTTTCAAATTATTTATGTATGCCAATAGAGGGTGTAAACTTGTATCGACCAGCAATTTCATTCCCTGAATACGTCAGATTATACAGATTTAAAAGTATTTTTCTTTAAACCATTTCCCCTTAACTGGAAAACTTCAAACCGGTTGGTTTGATATTTAGGGGCGTTTTCTGCCCTACCGTGATCGTAAAATACGCCTCTAAACTCTGAAAACCAATTACAAAATTTTGAATCTGTGTGAAGTTAGGTCCTCTCTTCCATTTGAAACCACTACGAAAATCGCACAAAATATGCGACGCAAAAATTTCTTAAAAACAATGATGCTCAAATTCAGAGGTTGTCCAGCAGTACATTCTGACTACAAATTTTGAGCCGAGTTTTTACTTTGTTTCACGAGAGCGTCAAATGCGCGAAGGAGAAGGCGCAGATGACAGGTCAAAAAAACTAGTAACAGGGACGAGACTCTCGAGAATGTTACAAAGAACCGGATCATTTTTAGAGGGTATTCATATTCCACTTTTTTCAAGCGATGCAAGGCGATGAGCGGTGAATTCTGGGAGGTATTTCACTCGGATCGAAAATCGTATCGCTCTCCGCGCCATCGATGGCTTTTTTCTCTGTTTTGGTCTTCATTTGGTACTCGTCTTAGCTCCTTTTTTGGAGGCGGAGAGGGTTAAATTACGTCGATGACAGGGCCGGGGCCGATCCACTTCACGGAGCTACTCGGCTGGAAAAGTATCGGATGCTTTTGTTTTTTCCGCAGCGGCTCGCCCCTTCGTTTTGGCTTGCATCGCCGTCATGTCTGCGCGACCAAAACATGGGTAAGGCCCGTCGCTGACACAAGTCAGAAAACTCGATTGAAGTATCAGATCAGGGAAAATTTCGTAGAAAATCTTTGCGCATTTGTGTAGGACTAGTTCCATAGGTTAGAAAGGGGCGCATACCGATGGCAAAAGTGTAAAACCAGGTATCTCCATCGCGATGTTTCAAAATTTCCGCTCTAATTTTATTTTTACATTTTACGCTGATTTCACAATTAACTCGTTAAAAAATATGTCCAACATGTTCCAAATGTACGTTTTACAATAGTGGGAAGCATCTTCAACCACGGGGGTGATTGAATTATGTAGCATTTTTTTTATTGCAAAAGCTATATTGAAACACGTCGGACACTTTTTAACTACAAAATTGTTATAGCAGCAATTTTATTTTGTTCCGTATACCAAGAGCAGCAAACCAACTTTTTAAGTTGGGATGATGAACTTTGTCAGGTTGCATGGTATTGCTGTATCAATTCACACATTTTTTCGGTCCTGATGTAACTGCTTGTGTGCGGGACTCTTTTTTAACTTTTCTCCCGAATCTAAGCGACACCTCATTGACAGCATAGCAGAGCATTATTATGAGCCCACGCTTCGCGTCATCGCGCCTTCAATTACTCAGATGCAGCACGGACGTTCATCAAGTACGAATAGTTGTATCTCTGCGCCGTCGTGAACGCGCATCATTTCCTTCCCTCTTTTTCCATATTGTGTTTGTTTCTATTTGTCTTATTCGCAGCAGTGCTTCAAGCACTACGTGAGTAACACAGCCGAAGGTTGGAGAGATGTGTTCGGGACTCTTTTTTAACTTTTCTCCCGAATCTATGCGACACCTCATTGACAGCATAGCAGAGCATTATTAAGAGACGATTTCTTAGAGTAAAACTCCAACTTTTGTGAAATTTTGGAGGCGCATATCGAATTCTACTTCTCATCTTCGAGATACGACTTTGTCATCACGCTGTTAGCGCCGCAATCTCTCTCGAACATGCACAAATACGCCGCATCGATTTCAAGTCACAAAGACGATCCTTTTTTCCGACAATAAGGAGCAGTTACTATTTCGGGACTCCGGGGGCTCTCGAGAAATTAGCATAAGAAGGAACGAAACCTGGACCACGTAGCCGAAGGAACGTCACGCCTCGGGCGAGGATCCGGGGAGTCCTCGGCGACTGTCGCGTAGGTGTTTAAAAAACGATCAGTTAAACATTTTTACGACTCGGACCAATTCAATAGCCGATAAACGCGCGAAACTAAAGAATGCGGCTCCGTGAATGAGCTCCTGACTTAGTTGACTCCGATTCACACCTGACCGGGACCCAACTCTCAAAAAAATCCCACGCTAATAATTACACTAGAAAAGGCGGGTGGAGATAAAAGATACTCCGCTCCAGTGTTGCCAACCACTCATGTGATAGTGAGAAATTCAGGAAAATTATCGTCCAAAAACACTTGTTCCTACACTAGAAAAAAACACATTGGATCTAGAGTCCAGACTCTTAAAAACATCGACAAGAAAAAATACTCTTGATTCAATCGGATTTTTGCTTAAATCAAGAACCAAGCCTCTTAATTTGAGTGGATTTCCTTTTGATTTATGCTTAGATCTGATTGAATCAAGAGTATTTTTTCTTGTCAATGTTTTCAAGAGTCTGGACTCAAGATCCAATGTGTTTTTTTCCAGTGTATCGTTAAAGGCACTATCTTGTTAGAATTGACTGTAAATGCTCTTTTTGAAAAAAAGTTCACGGTCAAATATGATCTGTGTGTTTCCTGCTCATGTGTCGAGTATCTTTCACATTATTTCGGATATCGGTGGCTCAAATCAAATAATGTGCAAATTTATTCCGGTTATTCAAAATTTCCAAACATATTTTATTTTTTTTTTAAAGGATAATGACAAAAATATCTCATTTAAATGCCCTGTAAATATTTTTGAATAGGTGAAAAAAATTCAAGGAAAATTCTACATTAAAAACATATTGAATGGCGTCTACATAGTTGGGCTCAAAATACATTTCATTGGTGCATGTAAGTGATTGAATGTTTTGAAGTACCTTTTGAAAGTCTACAAAAAATCACTTAATCGATTCAATGAATAAAATATCGAACTTTATTCATCAATTCATTTTATATTTGCGTCACATGCTGTCATCAGTTTCTTCAAATTGATCCAGAATACATTGGTTGAATACAAATTATGCAATCATACATAATATATTCTCGTATTAAAAAAAATATATGTTTTTTGAAGTTCTATATAAGGAAAACATGTTTTCATACATTTAAAGAGAATGATTGAAAAAGTCATTCTCCTAGGCGACAATTGAAAAACAAGTTTAAATAATTCCTCCAAAGAGATGTATCTGGCATCCAAATCAATCGTATGAGAAAAGCGGTATATTTTCAGGTATTAATTGACTGACCATCACACATCGGCAACACAGCGGCGACTTTGGATGCGTTTAAGGGGCGTTGCTGGACAGTTTGTCCTTGCACCCACAAAGCGATGCTTGTCATCAATGGGTCCTCGGGTTTTTGAATTTTTCGTCGCGACTGACTTGAGTCACTTTGATAGAAGATCCAGTCAAAAAAGGACCTCTCGAAATGCACTAAAAGACAGGCTGTCTCGCACCGATACACCCTTCGACGATATAAAAAACAATGTTGCCACAAGAAGTTTATGAGCAAAAAAATAAAATAAAAATAAAATAAAACATCAAAACGATTTATAAAAACCGGCGGAATGCACCTATTCTACTATCCCAGGTTTCTCCAATGTATTTAATGTTCTCATCACCTGTTGGGATTGGAGGTCGCAAATAAAGTGTTTCACGATCAGTATGGTATATGATTGCAGTGTCTATTTTTTATGTTATGAATTTCTTGGAATTTTCATGGGTAACAAATTGCGTCCTCTGTGTGTTTCAGGACTGAATTATATTTCTGAAGGTGAGTTTTCAAGAAAAATTATTCAATAGTTTCACCTCTCTTTGAGTGTGTTAAGAACTTCAATGCAAAGTCTTACGGATCGTGATCATTTGATTCCGCACGGCCTGTGTGACACATTTTGTTCCGCGTTTTTTTTCTTCTTTTTCTCCTTCCTTTTTTCCCTTTTTTTGTTAACGTTAACCAGCGTTTATATTTACGATTAAGATGGAGAGAAAAAAATTATTTTAGAAATTCATAATCCAGGATTGGAAAATTGTGCCTCATAGTCGATGAGACAATTAAAATTCCTTGATTTTTCAGGTTTCCTGGAGGCGCTTAATTCCAAAGCCTCTGACGGCTTACCAGAAAGACAGGGAAACAGTTGGAACTGAATTTCAGTCAATGGATCAAAATGTTCCGGATGATGAATATTTTCAGTTTTTCTTCCTAGCTCTTCTCGTTTCTAGAGTTCATTTTTTGCCTGCCATAGCAGTCCCTAACAAGGACTTTAGGGAGTGTCATTCAAGCCAAATCTCAAGAAAGGTGGGGAAACAACGAATTAAGAGAGGAAAAGTTTCCTGATGTAAAACATCAAAAATTTTAAATTTACAGAATTCAACCTAACATAAAGTTATACTTTCCGATTGCAGGGAGGGTGGTAATTAAACTGCCTTGCCAGCCATTCTCGCTTGGCGCCCCAGAGAAATTTTGAGTTTATACCAACATCCGTTTAGATTATCTGTGTTTACTTCAGTTACTTATTTAGCTTCTCCTTGTGTATATGAACCACTCTCAGGAATCAGACGTGCATAGAAGTTCACGAATTTTCGTTACTTTAGTGAGTGTGATTTTTTACAGTCTTCTTGGACAATTTCCACCTGCGACGCTTAAAACTCAACTTCTTTGCAGTATCTTCCCGGTGAAAACTCGAGTGTGACCTAGACTTTTCAGAAGTGTTGAGCTGTACTCGTTGAGTTGATGTCATGTGATTTTACGTGTGGTATATTTCAGGGCACAGCGGTGTGAACCAGCTGGGAGGCGTTTTCGTCGGTGGACGACCTTTGCCCGACTCAACCCGACAAAAGATAGTTGAATTGGCTCATTCTGGAGCCAGACCCTGTGATATTTCTAGGATACTTCAAGTTTCAAATGGCTGCGTCTCAAAAATTTTAGGAAGGTCAGTTCCTTTTTAAATTTGTTTGCTTTTTTAAAAGTTCCAATGATTTTTTTCGTTTACTTCTCTACCAAAGAAATGAAACGTGAAATGCAGTTAGACTTCATCCAAACAAAAAAAAGTAAGGTAATATCTACTATGAGTCTACTAGATTCTTTACACAGTGATACTTTTTAGGACAACTAACCAGAATTATAGTAGTATTCACCAGAACTATGGTATGGGATGGTATTATATGGTAATTGCTACCCTAGAATCTGGTGTTTATTACCATCCCCGACCACTGTGTCAGAGTATGGTAAAATCTACCATATTTTTTCACCGTGTGAATCCATCCAATTTATTTGCGTTCGAAAAGACCAAAGTTCCCACGAACCCGTATCAAAATACTTTACCTCGAGTTCAATCGTCGAGGCAGAGTTAAGCGCCATGCCGGAGTGATTTTCCGATAGATTTCAAGAGGTGAGCCGTCACCGCTGGGCACGTCAGATTTTAATCGGGACATTTAATCCGACAAAAAGTAAATATTTGGTGGCGAACGACAGCGATGACAGCGCCGCGGCGGAGCGAATCGGAAACCACCTGTGTTGACGGTGTCGAATTTCCGATCTGGGTCGGCCCCGAGCCCGTGGCACCGAGTCGCGTCGCGTCGCATACCGCCGCCCAACAGGTGGAAAAGACGACGCCACAAGAGACGGACACGACGTGCATCGACCCATATTCCTTCCCGAGGGGACACCTAGCCGCCCCGAAAGGACCCTGAACGTGTCGTCTGGTCTGTGGTAACAGCGATCGTCATAGAACACTTTTCAAAGATTATCTTTAAAAGTGGGGAGGGGGTGAAAAACTACGGTCCAAAATGATGTTTTTGGAAACAAATTTTGAATGATTTCAGAGTAAATCCACCCCTCGGCCGATCGTCAAATAGTTTCATTCTTCGAGACTGTTTTAATGAGAATTATTGTTTTTTTTTTTTCTTTTTTACAAGCAAACTTTTACGAGAGGATCTACACAATCAAACTGGAAGAGCTTGAGCCAATTTGAAAAGTTACGTTCCTTCGTCTGGGAAATGACGGCTTTTAGAAAACATAGAGTCAAACATATTACTAATGAAACAGTGACAGCGCGATTAAAATGTTCCTGTAATATTTTTCAATATATAGTAGTCTCAAATATCCGCGTTCGATTATCCGCGATTTCTTTTCGGTGGCTTTTTAGCAAAAAAGAATAAAAGAAAATTCAATTCTATGACGAAAATTCTACTAATCATTTATTCCAGGAATGAAGCTTGCCAGAATGACCTCTTTTAAGGCAAGATCCATTCATTTCGGACTAATGCATACATTTCTTTCTGATATGTGACTAGAGTTTTTATAGAGTCATTTCAATCACTGCTCCTCGCCAAATCGCTTGATCTTAGATGATTCGCGATTTCCGATTATTCGTTGTGAATCCGGTCCCAATCACCGCTGATAGTCGAGACACAAAAGTGGCTTTTAAGTATTAAATCGGCGTTTTAAAATACTGAAAAAAAACTGGAAGTTCATCCTACGGGCTACATGGACATACCGTCCGCGTTCCGGGCCCAGAGTACGAAAGTTCCGGACGTAGCTCCCGCTACAATCAAAACTACGGCTCCAACATCCGGAACTTTCGGCCTCTGAACCCGGAACGCACGGTACGTCTATATAGCTCGTAATTTTTTTTCCCCAGTGTAAAAGTATCGCGATATTATTTTCCTTCGAAGTGAGGCTCTCTTGCGCGCACAACGCGGCAACGAGTCATCGTCGGAGCAAATCAGGGAGTCAACACTGGCGCACCCCTCGGTGGATTCCGCCGTTGCGTAAAATCGCGCGCTCGGGCGCGAAACGCCAAAGGGTGAGACCGGGGGAGGACGCCCCGCGGGAGGCGAGGGGCGGGGGCGGTTGCAGGGCCGGGGCCGGGACCGCCGCGCCGCGTCGCGTCGTGCCGCTTCGGCCGGGGAGATCGATGGGTGCTGATAGAGGTGGACGGGATCCGAGGCCGAGCGTTCTCTCGTGTCGCTTCCACTTAGCGCCCGGCAACGCCTGACGTCCGACCCTAGACGTTGCACGTCCCAACGAACGTCCCGCGTCCCACGTCCGGGGCCCAAGGACGCCCGTGCCAGAAACTGGGTTCCGCGTCCAGGCTCAAACCGCATATTATCGCTGCCCTGTAAACCTAGAACCTAGTGACTCCGATGAGGTCCGTGTGTGGTTCGCCAGCTAGGGGGTCCCCTATATCTCTGGAGAGAAAGGGAGAGAAGTGTGTTGAGTTTCGAAATTGGACGTTTTTATGCGAAGGAACTACGTTGCATGCAACCCCAATGCACATAGTTCCTATTAGCAAAAATACATACATATACATCTTGCAATGAGAAGCTAATATTTGGACCACACACCGGAAAAAAAACACATTGAATCTAGAGTTCAGACTCTTGAAAACATTGACAAGAAAAAATACTCTTGATTCAATCGGATTTTTGCTTGAATCAAAACGGAATCCGCTTACATTAAGAAACTTGGTTCTTGATTTAAGCTAGATTCTGATTGAATCAAGAGTACTTTTTCTTGTCGATGTTTTTAAGAGCCTGGACTCTAGATCCAATGTGTTTTTTCCCAGTGCACGTTAGACAGAAAGGAATCAAGCCACATCAGCTTTTGCCAAATTTAATTGAGCCGTTTCATTCGTTACATGAAAATTTCAGTGAATTTTCAGCATAGTATACGTATAGCGAAGGCCTTAAAATTGTCTATGGAAATTGCGCATACATTCCCTTGTAAAAAATTGAGTTGCCCAGTTAATTTCGCAATGTCTGATGTGGCTTGGTTCTTTTCTGCTTAACGCAGTTCGTTTATTTCTCATTTCAGATATGATAAACGTGCTAAGAGTTTCCGTCGGCAGATGTAGATGTTTTTTTTTCATTGGCCAGAAATAATAGTTTTTTATTGCATGAAATCCAGTTAGGAGACAAAAACGAAAATTGAGTGACCAAGTCTGTTGCATAACCCTAAATTTTAAGCCAGGAAACAAAGAGTAGCAAAATGAAACTAACCAAAAGCTGGACTTTCTGTAAGTGATAACAGACTGGATTAGACGGATGACAGCTAGATGACATCATCCCATTATCATCAAAAGAGGATCCACGTTTTGGTTTTTTCATTAATGCTATTTTATACTCTGTTTCTTGGTCGGCAAAAGGGATCTCTGTGCACATCAACTATGAGAAAAACGGAGAACTTATATGGAAGCGGAAATCAGAGAAGAGAATGAAAAGTTCTTTTGTTGTATTATATGTTTTTATTGTGTTATCTATGAATACAACATTTATTGATGTATTGTAAGTAATTGTAAACAATCTTGCGAGAATTATCGAGGAGTTCGCATTTTTCTTCATGAAGCAAAATAAAGTCTAATTCAAAGGGGAAAAAGGATACTTGTATGGGTCTTACAAAGGCATTCTGCCAAAACCTATGCCCGTTCAACAGCACCGCGTCTCAAAGTTGGTTAGCAAAGTGGTCTCTCGAGGAGGCCCGGTCTATCAGGGTGGGTGACGCTGATTATTTTCATGGCAACGCCTCGGTAGGTCCTATTAATCTAAGCAAGACCTTTAAGTCACCCCTACACAGCTCTCCCGAACACTGCTCCCTCGGCTTGAGTGAAGGATACATGCATTTCACGCACAGTTACTGTTAATTACGTGTATTGCCCCATGACTGTGACAAATACTCAGGATATTTACACCCCTCCCAACAACGCAGTTTGTTTCCTCTTTGGAGCGAGCAAAACAAAGCTTGCTTAGTCGGTACATTTTTGTGAGGTTTATATTTTAAAGAAAACCCTTCCTTTCCGAACAGAGCGAAAAAAAAGAGAATTATCAAACAGAATATTATAAATTATGTTGAAAGACTTGAAATTCGGAGCTTCTGCTTGTCTTATTTAGTCATGCCTGTGAAAAATGCATGACGAGATGAAAAGTTCAAAAATATGAACTCTGTATAGCTGCGTCAAGAAAATTGCATTTATTACGACATGAAAAACCATTTTCTTCAGTGTCGTGTCAAACATGAGGAAAATATGCATTGAGTCAAAAAAGCAACTTATTGTGCCATGTAAAATTCATTCAAAGGAATTTGTATTTCGATGGCCAAAATGCGAAACCACCATATCTCCGCCCACGACTTTGCTGACTTCCCGTGGTTTATTTTTCCTGGGCGAAACTGGTTAACGTAAGTGCATGCAATTTTCCCTGATAATCCTTCTCTGTAAGCAGAATATTCTACCTATTTTCAAGTTATATTAACTCGATTAATCACTGTTTGAAAAAATAAAATAGGAGCGGGCATTTTGTAACACCGCAACGCAGATACGTGGTTTCGCACTGTAGCTATTGATTAAATATTAAAAACTACTCAAATATACTTAAGCAGAAACATCATTTTACTTCTTGGTTTCAGTGTATATTGTAATCTCCATCCACTGAAAAAAAGCTCCGGCCGTGGTAACCGTACTCACGGGCTATATGAACATACCGTCCGCGTTCCGGGCTCAGAGGCCGAAAGTTCTGGTCGCAGTATCCGGAGCAGTCGAATTTACGGCTCGAGCACCCGGAGCTTTCTGAGCCCGGAACGGACGGTTTGTCTATACCCATAGCCCGGAACGGACGGTATGTCTATATAGCCCGGAACCTTTTTTTTCAGTGTCAAAAATAAGTATTTACGCAGATTTGTGAAAATGTCCTTGAACCGGTGTGATTTTGGATTTCAGATATTACGAGACGGGCTCGATCCGGCCTCGGGCGATCGGGGGTTCGAAGCCCCGGGTGGCGACGGCGGAGGTGGTGGCGCGGATATCCCAGTTCAAGCGGGAGTGTCCGTCCATTTTCGCCTGGGAAATCAGGGACCGGCTCCTTCAGGAGGGCGTCTGCACCAGCGACAACATTCCTAGCGTAAGTACTCTCCAACTATTCTCACCAATTTCAAGTTCTCCCCAGTACAACTCGAAGTCGAATAGTTATCGCAAATAACTCTCAAATGGCGTTTGGTGCAATGCGAGAAGTATTCATGCAGTCTTGTAGGCGCAAGCCCGGACGCTTTGAAAGAATAAACGCTTGTGCCCAGTGGCGAGGCGTGAACGATCGATTTTCGATAACTCCCCATTTGAAGTTATTGTCAAGAATCGATTTTTTCGTTTGTCGATCGTTTTCGTTGCGAATGACTTGTTTATAGATCCTTTTCCATAGGTTTAAATAGCAGATCAATCGATAAATCGTAAAACTTGCCACGCCGAGGATGAGAACTGAGGAGGGAAAATTAAAATAAAAAAAAAAAAAAAAGAGCACGTACTGCTCGTTCACTCCTCCTTTCGGTGGTCAAAGTACGAAACCACGTATCTCCGTTTGCGACGTTGCAGTTTTTCTGTCATACTCTATATTTTATTTGGAAAGTCAATCAACGTAATTCCTTGAAAACTGCTTTGACATAAGATATTCTGCAGAAATTTCAAAATGTAAAGGTGGCATGTTATCTTTGGAAACATAAAAAAGGTGCGGAAATTTTGAAACACCGCAATGGAGATACGTGATTTTGAACTTTGGTCATCAATTTGTGACCGTCCATGGTAAAAGGAACTTTAATGCAAGAAGGCACATTTTTCAGGAGAGCCAGTTTTGCGAATGTTACGTAAAATATTGGAATTTGGAATTTATCTCAGGAACGTATTAAATTGCCAAAAATAAATGTTGCACCGTCGCCTGGATATTTACTAATGAAAATGTATCTATTTGTCTCTGCTAAAATTGTACAGAGCAAATAATCAAATTTCAAAAATGGAGCATGATTTCTTCGCTTCCTCACGTCTCGTTAAGAAATCAAGACTTCGTGCTTGCATTCATCAATTAGGAGACGAACAAAAATTCAGGGTCGGTATAGAATCGGAACAAACAGAGAGTGTCAAAATGGTCTGTGTGAAAGTTAAAATAAATTAAGGGATGGGAAGTGACGGTCCTGGAAGAGGAGGGGGTCGAACAGGGAGGGGGTTTGAAAGTTGTCTCCGAGACGTGAACCCTCCTTTCGGCCTGGCTTAAGCAGGGCCGCATTAAACGTTTCGCGATGCTGCCAACTTGTCGGTTGAAAAGCTCCCGGTATTTCTGTCAGTGAAGATCGTCTCTACCTCTGTTCTGTCCCGTGCAGTAGTAGATAAATTGATGGCACACCTAGAGGGAGTCAACGCCCCTCCTTCGAAAAAATGCATCTGAGTAATAAATTGTACCCATTAAAAATGTTGAGGAAGATTGGCTCTGATGCGAAAATTAAACGGTTTTCTTGTCTAATTAACGATTTTCTGATTTGAACGTGTAACGACTGGCTATCAGTTGGTGGTCCCATCGTTCGGTGTGACCATAAACGTGCCAAACGTGTTAAAAAGGATAATTTATGTAATTAAGGAGGTAAATCATTAGAAAGTATAGAAATCAAGAAAAATTAGCATTTGGACACCATCAAAGTTAATCTTGAACCAACTGAAATTTCAGAATTTTCGTAGAGGAGGACACCACCCTTTCACACCCATCAATGGGGAAAAATCCAAATCTTACCTGAAGCATCATATTTTTATTTTTAAGTATCTCCAAAAAATTTAGATTCTGGAACCGTTCCTTTGCGCGCTCGAAAAGAAATGTTGCGTCTCACTTTTGGACGAAAAAATATCATTCATCGCGACTAAGTTCCATGGCGAATAGCGCTCTTCGATGCACGATCTAAAGGTGTCACCCGCTAACGATCAGAAACACCGCATTTTAATAAGTGTTGCTCTGAACTTTCCAACCCTGCCGGTGTAAACCGGCTTAGACATGTATTCCTGGAAGAGTATTTTCCGCTCGTAGCTACATCAAATCGTCTCTGAAAAAGTTCCCAGACAATATTTGAGCCTTCAAGCCGATTTTTCCACAGCAAAGGGGCGACTTCGTTTCTCTTTTCCCGCCAAGTCGCTGCAGCTGCTCAGCTTAAGATCTCCCGACTAAACTTCAGCTCCTCTGATGTGCCCACTTCCTTTTCCATGCGGTTGTAAAATTGCCAATTTTCAGTATTGCTGAGACACTCTGCTTTAACATGTTCCATTACCAGAGAGAAGCACTGGTGTAAAATTGTGCGTTAAGTATGGTACGCAAAAATGAAAAATTAGAGACAGTTTCAAGATGCTCGCAGCAGGAGTTATATTTTACTAGCCAGACGCGGAAGTGGAAGATACAAATCCTTGTTTAAGTCACTATTTCTTGGGGGAAAAAAAGTATTTTCTGGCCTACCTCAAAAATTGAGGGCGAAATATCAATGTGTGTAATCTTTATATACCCCCGAATTTCAGCACTCCCGCCCCCCTCCTTCAGCTCCCGTTTGCTTGGATCCATCGAATATTTTTTATAATCAGAAAAAATATGAAGAGAGGAAACTCTGGGAGTACACATCAAATTTCGTGAGCTGCGGTCCCCTTAGTAGACTTCACCACTCAATATACCGAAGGATTCGATCGCTCCCTTCAAGTTCTTGTATTTTCACCATTTAGCAAAATTTGAATTTCAAATTGCAGACCAGGCTCCAGCGTTCACTCCTGTACTTTTGGTATAATGAATATTAAGACTTCGGTGGGCTATAACTCACGAAGTTGAGATGAAGCCTGAGGACATTTTTCTTGTAAAATTTGCGAAAAACACTCAGTATGCGGAAATTTGACTTGATGATTTTTTTTACACTGAGAAAAAAAACTCCAGCCGTGGAATCTGTACTTACGGGCTATATACACATAACGTCCGTGTTCTGGGCTCAGAGGCCGAACACTGGTAAAAAAAAACCTCTCGGATCAATGCCGCGGTGTATTGACTTAAGAGTGCAGTTTCTTGTCGCCCGATTTAAGAGTCTAGAACACTTGTTTCAAGCGGATTTTGCATTGATTCAATCGGATTTTGCATTGATTCAAGCTGATTTTGCATTGATTCAATTCAAAATCCGCTTAAAACAAGAGTCCAGACTCTTAAATCCGATGACAAGAAACTGCACTCTCGAACGAAGAGGTTTTTTTTTAAAAGTTCCGGGCAAGCACCCAAAGCAATCGAGGCTACGGCTCCAGTACACGAAACTTTCGGCCTATGAGCCCGGAACGAACGGTATGTTTATTGTCTTAAGGAGGAACCGAACTTGAAATTTATATTTTCCTGACTTCCAAGTTCCAAGTTCATGTCACCAAGTTCTTCTTCGCTAAACGGCATCCAAATCTCCCGTCAGAAAACACCGGCGATCTGTAGGCGAGGAAAAGAAATAATTCGAACAAATCGAATTTGCGGAAGTTGCGTGGATGGCGAGGAGGACCAGGAGGACGACGGGCTCGGCAGCTGTTGCCAGAGGCGTCGGGAAATCTGGGCCGGCGTCCAACAGTTGGGACGCTCCAATCGCGGGCCTCCGCGCGGAAGGTGACCGGCGGAACGAGCGGGGTTTGCGGCATCCTGCGTCCCCGGCCCCGGCCCCGCGCCAAGCCGCGATCGGAGGAGGGATTTCCTCGCTGCAGGGACAACCCTAAATCAGATTCTCTCGCATGAGTGGCTGCTTACTCCAATCAATGTGGCGCTCCCTCCCCCCGCCGCCCACCCCGGTTCAACGCCCTCCCTCGGCCACCCTCCTCGCCTTAACTTTCCCTTATCTAACAGGCTTATAATTACGGGCTCTTTCCCGCTTTTTTCCTGCGCTTCAAGATGAGCCCTGCCCTCCGTAAGACTCCACGCTTTTCAGGGCTCACGCGGGGTCGGAGTTGGGGCTTTTGCGTCGGTGGAGCGACGAAATCTCATCGCTTATTTACGTTGACGCTCTTGGCTCGCGGCTCTCTTGTTTACAGATTCAATTAGCCGTGTTTAATCCTTAAAAAAGCGAGTTTCGACCTTTCTTTTCCTCATTTTTTGCCTGTCTATCTTTGCTTAACGGTGTCGCTCGAGGTCGGCGTGTTGTCTCGGCTTCCGAATCACTCAATTCGCGCTCTTAACCCTTCCGCTATTCCCACGGATCCAGTATCAAACTCCAATCATTTGAATTTCATTTAAGTTCTTTTTGGCCGAAAAAGTAGCATGGTTCTCCACAGAATTCTTCGGGGCTGTGTATGTGATCTGCAACAAGTAACCGATCATTTGGACGTAGTTCTACGGAACAGACCTATGTGGAAGTGAGAAATATGGGGCGTGCTCTTTAGTTCTCTTTGCGTTAGAGTGAATGAGAATAATAAAGCGCCAGTGACGTCAGCGGCAACGAACGAACGCCGGCACAACGGGGAGATCGTTGGAGGGAGTCTTTAACTCATGAGCCCTGTGCACAACGCTCTCTTGCCATGCCCGCGGCTCATGACTGCCGCATTCAGTTGGCACATAGGTCTCTTTGATAGAATGCAATATCCCGCTTTTCCAATTCTACAAAAGGAATCACACCCACTTTTACATTGCTTCTTATGTAGCTTCGACGAGCACACCCCATATTTCTCACCGCCACATAGGTCTGTTTCGTAGAAATACGTCCATTTGGTGAGGGGTTCCGAAGTTCGACTAAGGATATTTTCCCCCAAAATTAAGATTTTACTGCTTCTGTAGGCGTTTCATGGTCTTTAGAAGTTTACTTCAAAGTTTTAAAAAGCTCATAAAATTGTGCAAAATCAAACTCTAATGATTTGAATATCATTTAACTCCTTTTTGGCCGAAAAAGTATCATGATTCTCCACAGAATTCTTCGGGGCTGAGAATGTACCCTGTAACAAATAACCGATAATTTGACAAGGGATTCAGTTCGACTCCGGATATTTTCTCCCAAAAATTAAGATTTTACTGCTTCTGTAGGCGTTTCACGGTCTTTAGAAGTTCACGTCAAAGTTTTAAAAAGCTCATGAAATTGTGCGTGTTTGAGTTGAGTCCCCTGCCCCTGC